CATGGTTATCTTGATGCCAGAAGGTTTGTTTTTTTAACACTTAAACATTGATTTTGACTTCATGGTAAGTAAATAATCAGTTATTACAATTCATCCTGAAGGGAACATGAATGTTTGAACTAAATGTTGCACCAGTTCATCCACGAGATATTTCACTGGAGGAATGAAATCTTTGTCCTGCTGGTGGTGCTAAAAGAAAAGTCTGGGGATCACCAAAGTCATTACGATTCATCCTCTGGGGACCCTGAATGTCTGTACATAATGCAATAATGTAATAGTTGTTTAGATGTTTCAGTCTGGACCAAGCCGCTAGCAAATAAATGTTAAAATAGTGAGTTCAATATAAAATGAAAGGTGAGACATAGAGTAGATATGAAACCAACATTGTTCTTCTGCTGAACTTTGTCCCTGTAGCGTCTGAGGAATGTGCTGCTCGGCACTGTACCACAGGAAATTAACAAACAAATTCTAATTTAGGTATATTTCATCCCTTGGCAGTTAGTTTCTCTGTGCATGACCTCCACTGACTCAGTACATTCCCACCACCTTACCTCCACCCCTAGGCTTTTATGAGAAAGGGAGAGCAGGGGAAAAAGAGACACATACTGCAGGGAGGAGAGGTGAGAGTATAAATACAGAAAAATGAGGTGAGAAAGAGAAGAACTTGGCAGACTTAGAAGAGTACTGACAGGGGTACAGGCTGGATTCATTCATGATCCTTCTCTGACTCAGGCTTTGCTCTTTCCCACTCCTCCTCCCACCAACAATCCTCACTCCCTCCCCTGGCCTCACCCCTCCTTCCTCCACCAGCCCGACACACAGAGGAAACAGGAGGTGATGTAATGGCCGACGGTCCTTCTCCAGAATACAGGCCAGGCTGGATTCCTCCTCTTTTCTCCCTCTTTACTCGTTTTCTATCAGCTGCACTCCCTCCGTTCATTCATTTACCCTCTCCCTGTCATCTCCTAGACTTCGGTATGTTTCTCTGGCATGGCAATTAACTCCGCCATCTGTGTGTGTGTAGGTTAACAAGCCTGTTTGGCAGTGTGTCTAAATAACACACCCCTTCCTCCTTCCCACCCTCCCTCCTCTCCGCACCTTCTCCTCTCCCTCTACATTGTTACAATGACCACAAGATTTGCACAAAGCCTTGGCCTAGTTGCATTCCCGTTTCCCTCTTCACTGTGTGTGCATATTCACTTCCTGTGAATGGGTTAAAGTGGAAACACTTGTTTTAAAGAACTGGCTCATCGTGTGTTTCAATGGAGGAGGGTAGGGGTGTGTGTGTATGCATGCATGTACAAGTCCATCTCTGTGTGTGTGTTTGTGTGTTACAGCTAATGATGTGGGATTCCCTAAGCAGTGGGATAGAGTCAAACCCCAAAATGTAGGTCAAGAGGCACCGCGTTCTCCTTACGCTGTTGCATAACCATGCACGCACACGTATGGTCACAAGTGTGTAGCTATCCTGCACTACTAAGATACACAACACTAGGCTGCGAGTGTGCCAATGTGCAGGGAAGACATCCAGAGTAAGCAACTGTAAAAGCTCTTTATGAAACCCTCAGTTGCAGCTATTCCCTCTGGTGCCACAACTCTACACGTAGATATGAAAATGTAAAGTGTGTGTCTGAGTGTGTGTCCGTGTGTAGTAGAATTGAGAGATTAGGCTTTTGCAGGTAGATAACTTGCTGCCCAGTCAGTCGGTTGGTTGAGAGCTGCAGGTAATCACCTGGACTAGATTGCCTTTTATGGAGTCTCTGATCAAAGACCTGTTGTAAATCCCTCCTTTACTCATTGCAGATAGCTTCTTTTCTCTCTCTCTCTCTCCAGTCGCCATGCTTTTATTTCTCTCCCTCCCTTTCTTCTTATTCTACCTTTCCCTTGTCTAGTTTTCCCTCTTTACCGCTGCAAAGTCTTTCTGATTCAGTTGTCACCCCCTCTATCCACACTGCTGTTTTACACTGTCCTCTTTGTTCCAGAAGGCTTATAGGACAAAGAGGAAGAGGAGAAAGAGAGAGAGAGAGAGAGAGAGAGAGAGAGAGAGAGAGAGAGAGAGAGAGAGAGAAGGGGGGATTAAGAGAAGGGGAGCTACACCTTTTCTTGGCTCATCTGATTGTAAGATGATAACCTGGAACGTACTAGCAAGCTGTTACATAAGAGATAGGAGACAACCTGAGAGACTTTATGTGTGTGTGTGTGTGTGCAGAAGGTGTATGGCATAGTGAATGGCAGTCCCATTTCTGCATTGTTTTCCTCCTGTTTCTTTGGTAACGCACGGATAACTGGGTTAGTCGCAATGCCATTTTTTCCTGTGAAAGGAATTTGCTTGTATCTGTGGTCTGTGTGTGTGTGTAAAGGAACCACATTGTTGCTGAAAGCAAATGGGACATGTTGAGTGTGTATGTGTGTGTGTGTGTGTGTGTGTGTGCAGGTCCTGGCTTTAATTCTTCTTCCTTACACTGACCTAATTTCACAATATATGGCCCTATGTAACCTCATGAATTGTTTGTTATAGCTGACATACATTAGACCACTAAATGTCCTGCTCAGTCATGCAAAGTGAAAAATCCTGTAAACTCAACCCTGTCATTTTAGAAGACAAACAGGGAGGAGTTTAATGGGGAGTTATGTAATTTGCATGAATTATTAAAAAGAAAACTTTTACAGAGAAAATACCCTGTACACTATCCCCCTAGATTTTCATTTTGACTGTATCTGATTCTTCTGCATGAGGAACTGCTGTTAATAAAGGATGACAACCTTCACTGTGAAGGTTATTTACGGTGAAAAGTACAGTGCCAGCTCAATATACAGACAATATGTTAGTCTGCAATGCACTTAGTCTGATGACTCATCAAACAGAGGAAAGTTTTTATTTCTTTGTCGACCTGATGGGAAATCTGATGAGTCTTCTTTCATTCTCACTCAACAAAGAAAGCGTGTGCATACACCAATCAAGGCTGAACACTGAAAACACTCTGAAATACTTGTTTTAATAGTAAAAACAGACTAATACAGGTCTGCATATTAATGCCCACAGTGAGAGAAAATAATGTCTAAGTAATGTGCAAGTTTTAATTCATTCAAGCAAGAAATAGGGAACATTTTCAAACATGTTCTATTTCTTGATGTACAGAAATCTTTAAACTATCCCTGAATCCCTCCTTCCTTTGCCCACTGCCTTCCATGCAATGTGAGACAAAAAAAAAACATGTTTTGAGACATCTTGCTAACTTACAAAGTAGACAAACAGGACTAAAAACATGTTTTTGTTTATCACAAATCAAAGCACAAAATGTAGTAGACATATTTTAGTTTTTTCGTTGCATTACATTAAATTTAAGGATAAAAGGGGAAATTTAGCTGCTGTAACAATGAAATAAACAGTTCGAACACATATTGTAAAGACTGTATTGGACAGCAATATAGATTACTATCATGGATTAAGTTGCAATTGCATTTTCTTACAGTGGCACCAATTTGAGTTGTATAATAAGCTAGTTTTATTCAAGGTGTGTAGTTCTGTAAATATATCACATACAGAACGAGCAGAGTTGAGATTAATTCACCCTCAGTCCTCAGTCCACATGCAGTTCTGCCATTCAGCAGGAAGGGGCAGAACTGAGAGCATGTCTGCTTTCAAATGTGGAAAACTTTTAACTTAACTTTTGTTCCATGTTTGGTCAGCTTTTCTATCTGGTTCATTTTGAGTTGTAGCAGGACATGAAAGCTGCTAATAAAAAGCTATAAATACAATATTTAATACAATACAATACATTTAAGCATGTACCTACCAGTACATAGAGAATCAGTAATGTGTCGCATCGTGCACCAAACTCTTAGGAAACAATAAAGTTGCATTACACTCTATTATGCGGTCAACCTACTGTATGTGTCTGTATACAGGGCTAACACCAGTGAACCCCCTGGTTTGGCCCACAAGGGCAGCCGGCCAGTGTGTGTGTGTGTTTAAGATGGCCATCTGCACCAGATGTTAATGATCCCCCTGTGTGTGTGTGTGTGTGTGTGTGTGTGTGTGAGTGTGTGTCAGCAGATGGTGTGTGTGTCGGTCACACACATGCTGTCTTCCATTATCAGTTCTCAATCATCAATTATTTACACCAGGAGATTGAAACCAATGACGATGAAAAAAAAAGTTACTGTAAAATCAGTCAAATCGATTACATTTCGAAATAAAAGCTTCAAAATTACAAAAATGTTTTGAACTGATCAAACATGGACACCCTGAGTCCATGTCCGTTTGTGGTTGTTTAACAGTAAGTGTGTGTTTTTATATCTGTGTGCACTATGTTCATGTATGTGTGTAAAATGAAAAAGAACCAGAGCAGCTAAATTTTCAGGGGGTCTGTGTAATAAGAGGCCAGCAGGGAACAGCTGGTGTTTGTGCTTCAGGACGTGTGTGTGTGTGTGTGTGTGTGTGTGTGTGTGTGTGTGTGTGTGTGTGTGTGTGTGTGTCCAAAGAGGCTCTGTAAGGGGGCCTCATACCCTTTGTTGCAAGGGGGCATATCATTAGCATCTAAAACTCCTTATTGCCCATGAAGAGAAAGAAAGAGAGATGAAAAGCTGAGGAGAGAGGAAGGGAGCGAGTGAGACACAGAGAAGAAGAAAGAGGGATAGAGAGAGAGAGAGAGAGAGAGAGAGAGAGAGAGAGAGAGAGAGAGAGAGAGGTAGAGGTAGAGGTAGAGTGAGGGAGAGGAAGAAGGGGACCCAGGGGATACAACAGGAAAGTGGTGGCAATGACCAGCAACACCTGCCAGTTCCACTAAATGTGTGGAACTGGCGTGTGTGTGTGTGTGTGTGTGTGTGTGTGTGTGTGTGTGTGTGTGTGTGTGTGTGTGTGTGTCCATCCGTTGTGGATACACATGTGTTGCTCCCAGTGTAGCTGTGTGGGACAGTGGTCTGACTGGTGCAGTGCGCTGCTGCAGCCAGTGGGTGGAGCAACAGAGCTCTTTTAGACACACTCATGAGTGAGGAGACAGAGAAGGACTGTACATGCAGGAAACAGACCTGTAAGTAATTCATTATATCTGTATTATACTAGATAAAACAAAACTTTATTGATCTCCAGAGGGAAGACAGACACAGCAACAGATAAAGAACCTTTAAAATTATTACAATTAAAAAAGAGATCAAAGAAATGAGAGATATGACATCCAGTAGTGCCTCTCTGGCAGCCATGATGTGTGAACTATATATAATTAGAGGTATATACTGCAGGTGTATATACCTTATAATAATGAGTTATAAGTGCATAGTGTATATATTATATGTGCAAGATACACATACACTATACTGTAACAATATGACTATATGTAATATAAAAGAAAGAGAAGACCCTCCATCCATCTATCATCTAAAACTGCTTATCCTTTGGAGGGTTGGTTGGAGGGGGGCTGGCAGTCACCGCTGACAGTGGGACAGGTCAACAATACCATAATACAGCATACAATGTAATATAGAAATACAATAACAACAAAATGGTAGTAATAGTATAATTGTATAGTGGAAAAAATCATATATTTCACTGGGAAATGTTGTTGTATGTTGTTATATTGTTGTTCATGTGCTTGCATGTATCTATTATAACTAAATGTACAGAGTTTGTACAGACACTGAACAGGTTTTATAAGTTGTTCCAGACACTTTAAAGACCTAACATATCAAAAACGTTGATATTATGAATAAAAAATGATCACTTATGTCCCCCTGGTCTCTTTCTCTACTGTCTCTAACAAAGCAAAATGCCCCCCCAAAGAAGCTAATCAGTATTTTTTAATAACAATGGATCAAATTACTATGTGTATATGAAAGTATTGTGTGTGATAACAGAGAATTTAATTGTTTTGTTTCACTCTCACCGCTTTCATCAACGTCCCATCAGGCAGCTGCAGCTTTCTCAGCAAAGACGTCCTGATAAACTCACTGCACGCTCGCTGCTCAGCACCAAACAGCAGACAGGCAACGTTAGCAACTGGGAATCCAGAGTGGAACATTTAACAGGTAAAGAGTCAGATATTTCCCTCAGGAGTTGGTGGAGACCAAGACAAAGCTGAAAGAGACTGAATATTGGACTTGCGTTCATCAGGTGGCGAGAAACACTTAACACGTTAGCCATATCAACTTTATAAGCTGGTAATATGTTTACACATGTTATTTTTTTTTTTTTTTATCTACACAGGGCGCGGGTTGCCTTCTGTGGACGCCGCTATGTTGAACCGTTTCTATGGTATCCCAGAATGCACAAACCAAACACTGGCTCTAGATTGGCTTGCTTGGAAAGGGAGGGTGAAACGAGTGATATGCAGTCTGCAACTACACAGATGCCATTAAATCCTACACACTGGTCCTGTCATTTATTTATCTGCGAATAAGTTAAACAAATCTAATAGTGACCCCATGTCTTACAGATCATCACATGATACAGTCAAAAGGAAAAATCTCCATTTCTTTTTTCAAAGATGGATAGAAGTTTATGTAATACCCTGCAGTTGTTTACTGCCTCAGAGATCAAAGAAGCTGCACAAGGTGTTAAGAAAAATAAGGAAAGAGGGAAGGAAGGAGGGCGAATTCAGTCTATTGACCACAGTAACAGTGTTCATTCATGAGGACAGGATGTGATGTCACAGGCCCTCGCTGAGAGGCAGGAAGAGGTATTTTTAGTGGCATCCTGATCAAGTTTCCCTGCAGTCAGTACTGCAGGCGCCAATCAGGCCCTACAATCAATTCAAACACACACACACACACACACACACACACACACACACACACACACACACACACACACACACACACTCATGACCTTGAGAGGAAAATCAGCGTCTTGTTTCACCTCAAATCAGCATGTCTGCTGTGGGGGGATGGGGGAGTTGAAAATGAGATGATGTGACAGTGGCACGCATAGCTGACCATCATGCTATCACACACGCAGACACAAGCAAACATATACACATACATGATACTAACGTCCACACACACTCAGACACAAACACACACCCTGCAGTGTCCCGCTCATGCCTCACTGCTCTGTTTCTCTTGACTGACCTATATCTTTTTTGTCGGCTACAGGCATCATAGCCACACACACACACACACACACACACACACACACACACACACACACACACACACACAAACAAACACACACACACACACACACACACACACACACACACACACACACACACACACACACACACACACACACACACACACACACACACACACAGCTACACACACACACACACACACACACACACACACACACACACACACACACACACACACACACACAGCTACACACACACACACACACAGACACACAGACACACAGACACACACACACAGACACACAGACACACAGACACACACACACACACAAACACACACACACACACACACACAGCTACATACACACACACACACAGCTACACACTTCATAATGTGTTAAACAGAGGGAAAGCTATGAAGTTGCTCTGCTGATCTTGGCTCAACTGCCTTGCGGTCGCCATGACAACAGAGGGTGGAGGAGCTGGAGGCACCCCCAAAGCACACACACACATTGGCACACACACACATGCTGACCTTTAACCTGACCGCTGTGAGGAGAATGGAGGCTAAAGCAAAGAGGGGAGTGTGTGGTGTTCCCCAGTGGCTCCAGCTTCCAGCTCTTTGTTGGTGGAGAGGAGGCCCTTGGTAGGGCTGCAGCTGTGCTGACACACACTCACAAGCAAACACACACACACACACACACACACACACACACACACACACACACACACACACACACACACACATTCCTTAGTGATTGCAAGAGACACCATCACACACAGCTCACTCAGTCATTCATACAGCCATTTTACACATTCAGCATTGTTTCATTACACATTTTGAAAAAGTTCTTTCCTATAAAAGTTGTTCTAGCATTGGATCACTAAGAACACAATTACATTTATGTAACATTTTCTATATGGCTCATGTGTTCATAAAAAAATAGAAATAATAATGTCAATATTGAATATGGCACTGTTCATTCAAATGAATGATGAATGTAACTCAAAAAGTTTCACAATAAGGAGAAACATTTGAAAAACTAGAGACAATAAATTGGTACAAAGTAACATTAGTAATATTAGTAAAATAAAATGCTAAAGCAATACAGAGAACAGGTAACATTTCAAATTAAAAGCTAACTGAAATGTCATATGCTGTTCTTAAACAATAGTCTACAGCCACGCAACAGCTCTGTGAGTCTGGGCTTCAGCCAACAAAACATGCTAGCATGCATGCTGATGTTTTGATAATGTTTACTATGTTCAACATCTTAGATTAGTGTGTTAAGCTGAGGCTTTGAAATCGCTGTAGTTTGAAAGTATTGAAAGAACGCTGTTGTTTCAGTCAGAGTAACACGCTTTGATGTGATTTGATTTTCTTGGGTCATTCTTTGTGCCCACCGTACTTCTGCCTTGTCTTGGTTATCATTACTTATTAAATTAATGACTGCTAGTATAAGTAGATAAGTAAGTAGTTTGAGATTTAACAGGTGACTCTCTCACCCTAGAGCTGATTTTGATAGACCAAACTGATCATGTTTGGCAGGTCTCTGAGAGGCCCAGATCAAGACTGTCAAGACTGACAGCTTTAAAAAATACTCCTGCTGTTGTTTTCTTTCTTCTTGTTTCTGAGGAAACATGATCCCAACAAGGAGGAGAGGGAGTCTTAGGACATGTGCCATCAAGAAAATTATCAATACAATCAATAGAAAGACCAGCTGTAATCACGGATAAGTGCTAAAAGTGTCAGGTCATCACATCCCCACAAGCTGGGATGGGACAGGAAGGTATAATTAGAATTTCATGCTTTTGTGGAAACAGTGAGGGATTTGTGCCCTCCACCAAAGTGGGACAGACTGTGACAGGATGTCTTCACATCCCTCAGAGACGGTTTTCTGATTCCATACAGAACCTCCTCCACTGAAACACACTGATCCCAACTCCTGCATCCATTCAGTTGGTCAGTGGTCACAGTAAAATGTAGGTTAATGCAGGAGAGGTGACACACATCTTCATCCCACATGTTTTTTAAAATCAATCTGCAGCGTATCACCATCCTGAACCAGCCAAAGCTGCTATGGGCTCACTCCAACATGTCAGCTTAAATCTGATACAATCCAATCCATCCATTCGTCATACAGTTCTACAGTTTTAGCTTGTGGTTGAAATGACTGACAGTGTGAATATAGGTCAGAGGAGAGGCAGCTCCCCATCTCTCTCCACCTCATATTCACATCAATCACTCTTCCTCTCTTATTCTGTTCATATCCTCCCTTCCTTATCTGTTTCCACTTCACCGTCTTTCTCTTTTTCAAATGCTCCTTTCTACTCTAACTTCAATCAAGTTTCTAAATAATGACTAAAAGCTGCAACAATGCCTCCCCAGCTGCAGCCATACACAGAGAGGGAGGACATTTTAGCAATTAAATCTCTAGACTTTCCATTTTATTAAAAAAACTTCCGGCCTGTTGATTGGCCCGCTTTTTCCAGACACATCTGGAATGATGTTTTTCTGATTGGTGGACAGAGGAGGAAAAGACGCTCTTATTGGCTCCAGCCCAGAGGTGTGTGTTAGACAAAGGTGCTGATTGGTCAGTTTTGCGTCTTCTGACGCAGTGCTGCAGTGCTGCGCCGTCTGCAGGTGCTGTGAGTGCAGCAAGTGTGTCAGTGTGTCAGTGTGTGTGTGTGTGTGTGTGTGCTCGCTGCAGCAGACTGCCTGCCTCTCATCAACCAGCAGATTTGAGGCTGGTCTCCATAGCGACCGTCCTCAAAGCTCGGCTTGTGAACAAAGATAGATTCCCTCTCTCCCTCCCCTCTTCCCTCTGACCAGCAGTGTGCGACTCCTGTGGCGAGGTCTCTCCAGAGGCTTATGTTTCAGTGTGCTCGTACACATGCCTGTTTGGATGAGGTGTGGTTTAATCATAAATCACTGCTAATCTCATCTCATATTGCAATCTCTTTAAGAGGTGCATAGTCAGAGAATGAGAGACTGTGTGTGTGTGCATGACAGTGCGTCTCCCCCGAAACACAAATTAATTAACAACAATGGAGGCACCCATCTGGAGGGAAAGATAGACGAAGGATGAGGACAAATGCGCTTACACACACACGCACACACACACACACACACGCACACACACACACACACACACACTCACTCACACAGCTACACACACACACACACACACTCACTCACTCACACACACACACACACACACACACACACACACACACACACACACACACACACACACACTCACTCACTCACTCTAGTGGTTGCTGTGGCTTGTGTTTTGACTGGCAGCTGTATGTTAAATTAAAAATCACTTTACTGTTGATTTGAATGGTTCAGTTCAAACATTTCCAGTTATTTGTAGATTTTTTAAGGTTTATTGAGACAGTTGGCGTAATGTAATTCATAGTAACTGTACACACGTATATTTGTTCTCTGTTGTGTAATTAAGTTGAGGAACTACATAGTATGGGGCACCTTGCCTGTAACGTTACAGACGGTTAACATTGGTGGAGTGAAATGATGTAAGGTAGTGAGGTGATGTATCACTTTTGTTGTCAGTGTTCAGTTGTCCTACAGTCGGAGTGGACATTAAAGTGGACCGAGTGACACAGATGAAGCTCCCTGTGTTCTTGCTTTACCCAAGAACCAAATGAAGTTTAAATTCATTAACTATCAACTTTATAGTTAACTCTAAAAGTAACCAGCATTACATCAGGTTCAGCTCAGTAAAAAACTGAGAATTGCTGCCACAATAGTTATTGATTCATTCCAATCAGACAAACAAGGGCCTCATGGACCAGCCTTGGCAGATGCATGAGTATCTCATCATGTGGCTTTCGTGGTTTTACAGTAGGCATTTAACTGGGCAGTGACCTACCGTACATTAGAGGTGTTTGTTCATGTAAGAACAAATCTTTATCAATGAATCTTCAAACTGAAGTAACTACACTGAATCAGCTGTCTCTGATTCACTGCTGAAAGCCGCTGATTCAGTCACTGACAATGGAGAGTGTCGTGAGTTCAGTCTGAAGATTCAGTGCAAAGGATTTGTTCATACATTGACTGAACACCTCTGGCTCCGCTGCCTTTAAGCTGTTCATGATTTCTGCTCAGATTCATATGACTAATTAACTGAAATATTGATAAGATGATCGGGAGACCAATTGTAGTGAAGGTGGATACATAAAAATTGTAAACTAACAGTGGGAATTCCCCTTCTTGACCTATAAGTTAGTTATACAGTCAGCTGTTTTCCACATGAAGGTATCAGTTTCTCTTCCTGTTGATAAAAATATAACTCTCTCACAGACTGAACACCTCTTTGTTTAGAGATACAGGAAAATATCTTCCAAAATATATGTGTATGACGAAGTTGGAAACAAACTCACAGTTCATTGTATTGAGGATTTTGGTAAAGCCAGCACCATAACTACAGAGGACCATCTGTGACTGTTGACTGTCTGTTAATCCAACAACAAACCTGAATCAATTATTCATTTGAATCCTCTCAGTTAATTCTTGCTGCAGTTGGCGCAGGATGATGTGAGGGATTTGCACTTTGCAGAGAAAGCGTATTGACGCTGCTGTGCCAGAGTCGGTCAATCAATCCAAAAAAGGTTGACTCCTTCCATTTTAGGACCAGTATGAAGTCATTCTGCATAGGTCTGCTGCAGAGACCTCATCACTGTCTTTATAGACAACTGAGAACTTACCTTTAAAGGAATATATGCGTGTTCGCCATTTTTGCCAAGACCTAAATGAGAAGATTGTTACCACTCTTTAAACTTGACTGTTGAGGAGTTCTGCTTTGGCCTACCTCCTGCAACACAATTCCTGTTATAACATTGTTATTTACCTTTTATATCCTCATCATTCGCCTCTATTCTCTTTATGATATGCCATTAAAGTTACTGCATCCATTTCCCAAACAGTTAGTCATTTTATGAGCAGTACATTTCTCAAAATAAACAAAATTAATTAATAAACATGGATGTTTTCAAGTTATAAGCATTTGATTATTCTTTATTATTGCTACCATCAAATGTTCCTCATACAGTACATGTCTTCCTCTTCTATGTGCAGCTCTGGAAAATTCAGCTTAAACCACAGGTTGAAAGTTGTGAACATTTGTGGGAAATAAATAAAAAAAACTGGGTACTTGAGTGTTTTATTTAGTTGTATTTATTTATTTTAAATCAAGAAGCTTACAACATTATGTCACCTAAGTTTGGATTTATCTGACTGGACCTGAAGGCAACATTACACTACTGCAAAACATGTGCTTCCAAATATTCTGTAATCAAATTCACAGATGCAGTTGTTGTTTGTGTGGATTGAAAGTGTTGAACGTTTGATTTTAAAAAAAAATCTCTTTAAATATCTCTCTAAATAAAAATAAGGTGACCACAGCTGGCAGATCTATGGAGGAAGAATTTGTTGTTCAGTGTTTGAGTGCTTAAACTTAATGCTGTTGTTCTTGATGCTCAGAAATCTTCACACGCGCTATACTCTTTTTACAATTCAGTTTTCTAACTCAGGCTATTAGAAATACATATTGCACAACAAAGACAAGCAAAAATACATCAGAAAAGGTCTGGTGATTTTATTATCGTGTGATTTTGGAGCTGAAATTACATCAAAATTAGATTTGTTTGAAGATGTTCTGTCAGGAGGTTGGATTTATCCAGACTGCAGGAGAGAGAGGGAGACAGGGAGAGATTACCCTTGATTAGATTACAAGTCTGGGTCAGATTACTTTCCGTGTGCAAGCCCACCAGCACGCAGGGAGGGGAATGAGAGGATTCTGATGTGTACTGGTTGTGACAGTCGTAATTTATGATTATTATTTATTCATTAAAATTACTTCTGCTTCATTTTCCTGAACTGAAACGCGTCTGGTGCAGTATGCAACTTATATAAGTGTGACGTGGAAACATAAAGCCACCAGTGTACATACACAGTGAAGTAGGAGACATCTTGTGTCCAGTAGGAAAACTTTAGAAATGAACAACATTTGCATATTCATAGATTCTGTAACGTTTAATGAGGTAGAAGTCTTTTAAAGGACTTTAATGTGGAAATCATACTTTATTTTTGCAGAAAAAACATATTAGACACTATTGTTCCAAACAGACTATATATGTATATATGTCTTTATACATGTCTGGAAGGGGAAGCAACAATATAGGTTATTACAAAGAAAACTGCTCTGACATGATGCTAGTTTGTATTCTGATAAAAAAAAAAACATTCAAATGCAGAATAATAGTACAATGATACTTTTCCCTGTCAGAAAAAAAATTGCTTTTCACTTAGGGTTGAGCCAGAGAGCTCGTCAGGATTCAGTGTTTGGCTCAAGGACACTTCAACAGGTCTAACGTCTGCTGAACGTGAGTCCTGTGGCTGCAGTCCATGCAGTCTGTAGCTCAGTACACCAACAAGTGCAAATTAAGTTCTGATCCTAGATCTCCTAATCTCAGAGACTTCCTTTGCATAGCCATGAATAATGTGTGGGTTGTAAAGGAGGTGGAGGACTAAATTACATTACTCTCACTCTCATCACTCACTTTGTCTTCACAGCAGAGCAGCATCCTTGTTGGAAAGAGCACCAGCACTCATTCACAGGGAGAGAAATGAGGTATGAACGACTTCTGCTTTGACCTTTCTGTGTGTGTTTTGATCCATTAGAGACGTACAGTAAGTGTGCAGCTGCTGATACGGCCCCAACACTTTGTATCCTTGTAGATATATATATGTGTGTGTTTAAGTACAGGCTTATGCACATTGCACTGAGAAGATGCCAGAGTGATCTGTTTGGCCTCTTTGTTTATGGAGCCGGGCCTTTCCTGCCCTCTGATGTGCGTGCTCGGGCCATGAATGGAGCTTTGTGTGCGGACGACACGCACAACCCATCCTCATGATTTGAATGCTGAGTCCATCTGATCAGTGTGTCCAAGAGAGAGAGAGAGAGAGAGAGAGAGAGAGAGAGAGAGAGAGGGGAGAGAAAGAGTATTGTGATCAGTTGCTGGTAAACAGATTCCATTGTAAGTCGATGTGGTTAAAGGGGATGGTTGTGGAAGTTAATGCAGCCTCCTCTTCTGTCTGCTCACCGCACTTCTTCTGAGGTTAGAGACCTTTCTTTAGAGTCTGCATGAACACAACATCAGCAGGGGGGCAGAGAAATAAAACTTCAGTTCAGCTCCCAGATTTCTGTCCATCTCAGGGGGCGTGGCCTGCCGTGCAACGTCACTGATGCTTATATAGGCTGCAGCTGTGGCGGCGGGCTCGCGCTGCTGAGACAGGCAGAGCACAGAGGACCGGTGGCGCGCGCTCACAGACTCCCATTCAGCCACACACACACACACACACACACACACACTCCCCAAACAAAGAGAAGCACGCGAGGCAGCACAGAGCATCCCACCCTTTCAGCCGCGAGCTCACTTGCAGAACCGCCCCCCCCCCATCCCTCTCTCTCACACACAGAACCGGTCCGGTCCGAGGCTCGAGCGCACAGAACCGACAATGACAACTAACGGCGCGTCTAACGGAACCAGCGACATGCTGCAGATCCAGTTCGGTCTGATCAACTGCGGGAACAAATACCTAACGGCGGAGACCTTCGGCTTCAAGATCAACGCCTCCGCCACGAGCATGAAGAAGAAGCAGATCTGGACTCTGGAGCAGAGCGGGGACGACTCCACCGGGAATGTGTTCTGCCTCAAGTCACATCTGGGCCGGTACATCGCCGCCGACAAGGACGGGAACGTTACCGGAGACAGTGAGACCCAGGGCCCGGAGTGCCGGTTCATCATCACCGCCCATGATGACGGCCGCTGGTCCCTGCAGTCGGAGCCGCACGGCCGCTACCTGGGCGGCACCGAGGACCGGATCATCTGCTTCGCCCAGACCGCCTCGGTGGCGGAGAAATGGAGCGTGCACATCGCCATGCACCCGCAGGTGAACATCTTCAGCATGACGCGCAAGCGGTACGCGCACCTGAGCGCCAAAGTGGATGAGATTGCCATCGACCGGGACGTCCCGTGGGGGGTGGACTCCATGATCACGCTGGTGTTCCGCGAGCAGCGCTACCACCTGCAGACCTCCGACAACCGGTTCCTGAGGAACGACGGCGCGCTGGTCGCCACCACAGACAAGAGCACGGGCTACACGCTGGAGTTCCGCTCCGGTAAGGTGGCGTTCAGGGACTGTAGCGGCAAGTACCTCGCGCCCTCTGGGCCCTCCGGTACCATGAAGTCCGGCAAGAGCGCGCGCGTGGGCAAGGACGAGCTGTTCGTGTTGGAGCAGAGCCACCCGCAGGTCGTCCTCACCGCTGCCAACGAGAGGAACGTCTCCACCCGGCAAGGTGGGTGTGATGGTCCGGTGTGTGTGTGTGTGTGTGAGAGTATGTGTGCGCTGCGGGCACGGTGGTCCTCTGAGTGACAGCCTGTGTGTGTGCGTGTGTGTGTGTGTGTGTGTGTGTGTTGGTATCTCATCCTCTGGCAGAGGAAGGGTTAAAGTGATGGAATGTCAGACTGCATCCCCCCTGCAGCCTACACACACACACACACACACACACACACACACACACACACACACACACACACACACACACACACACTATATATATATATATAGGCCATGTAAATGGCCTATGTATACTTCACATGTTAAACAATCGGTTGTCTGGGCAGAGTCTTGATATGAAAATGTCCATCACAGACTGAAGCTTAACCCATCAAAACCTTTCCAAAGCTCACACTAATTTAAACAGGATGGAAAATAAGACCTGATGAAGTCTGTTAGCTGTGAATGTTTTCAGTTGAGTTTACAGACATGGGGTGAAAGTGTGCAACAAAGAAGGCCACAGACAGAGCACACATAATTATTAATTGTGCCAACATTCAAATGTTAAACAGCCCTAAACTGGCAGGAGGCTCAACTGGCACAAAGCAGAGCTGCTTAGAGGATAAAAAAGATGTGCCTATAATGTCTTCAACTAAAATTACTATGAAAAAAATGGTTGAATCCAGATGTTTTATGAGACAGATACTTGGCACCTGATTCATTGTGTTAAAGGTTATTATCCTGTAACCTTTTTGTATATTGAAGCATTTCACGTCCGCTGTTTCTGTTTCTGAATTGTTTAGAAAACATTAGTCATCAGCATTAATGAGCTATTGAACACAACCTCTATTATCATCATCATCATCATCATCATCATCATCATCATCAGCCCTGATGTCATGGCAACCCAACAGCAGTGGTGTGTTTTCTTCCTGCAGCTGTATAATTAACAACCTTGATAGAGAAGCTGACATTAGAGCCTTTTGAAAGAAGTCAGATTCATGCTTGTGCAGTCGGATATTAACTGCTCTGTGTATCAGTAATGATCAGGTAGATATTTATTGGGTCCAGGTGGACTCGCTCCTGACCTCCATTACTGTTTTTCTTCCTTTTTCACATTGTGTGTGTGTGTGTGTGTGTGTGTGTGTGTGTGTGTGTGTGTGTGTGTGTGTGTGTGTGGGAGTGTGAGAGAGAGCTGTCCATGTGTGTTTGGTTTTCAGATGTGAGAGTGGGCAGAGATACAAGCTTGTCCCTCCACCTTCTTCCTTCCTTTTTTCCCCTCCTTACTTTTTCCATCTCTTTCCTCGCTATCACCTCCTTTCACCTCTCCGCTCCCTGTCCCTCCCGTCCTACTCCTTTTTGCATCTCTTTCATCATTTCTTTACGCCTTCTTATCCCCCATCCTTGCTTCACTTCTCCCCCGCCCCCCGCCCCGTGCCTCCTCCTCACCCCCGCCCCCACTCCTCCAGCCTACAGGCCTGGCTGCTGTGTGTCTGAGGTCATTATCACTGACATCCCTCATGTTGTTGAGGGGTCTTAATACAAAGAAACCGCATTGAATTTAATCAGAAGGTCTTAAATTTAAGTTGCGTGTGTGTGTGAGTGAGAGTAAATCATGCTTTTAAAATGTCTTTGAGTCAGCACAAAAATCTTGAGTGTGATTTGGCTCCAGCGCCTGAGAAAGCAGAGAGACCGTGGCAGTGACTGTCTGTTGTAATGAATGATAGGAATATACTAATTGATGCTCTTTAAATCTATATTTGGTGTCTGGTTAGAGGAGCTCACTAGTGAGAATACCGTGCGGTTCTGTGGTTTTGCTTCTTCTTTTCAGAAAGTATGATGTGTCTCTCCTTTTGTTTTCCTCTCCTGACCCGCTTTGTTCCGTCTCCCTGCTTTGTTTACTTGTCACAGGGATGTCTATCTACTTTTTCCTCTCCATCACTTCTTCACTTTTTGAGTGGAGCTCAGTCTCGGACACAAAATGGAGGCTGGTTTTGAAGGTGGAGGATGAATAAAGAGAGCATTTGTAATGGAGCTGTTGGAACTGGATAATGACGTCCTCTGTGATGAGAGCACGAACCGCGCTTTAATAATCCCCAAGTCATTGCTGTCTGTGTGACATTTTGCTGAATCAGATTGTCTTTTTATTGTGGAGGATCCAGCTCAGTGACATCCTGCTCTTACTCCACAAACACACAATGAATACATGTATTCAGGACTTGTTTCTGTATAAGCAAGTAAAAAGTCCTATTAGGATGTGTCTTAGCATCTTGAATGGGAAACTTGCTGCTTTAGATCTTTTATTTTACTTTTAGTTTCTGGTAAGAGTAAATAAGACATTTGGGCTGGACTCGGATTAGAACTGCTAACTTTACTGAACAATAGAAATCATCAGTTATAGCTCTAGATACATTATTGATGCTGATGAAGCATATAATATCAGAAAACATTGAAAAATGCCCATCACAATTTCCCAGAGCCATTGCTTTTTTTGCCCGAACTGCCCAAAACCACAAACATATTCAGCTGACTATCACAGACTAAAAATACTTAAATATTCTCATTTAAGTAACTGAAACCAATTAATTTCTGGCATTTTTTCTTGTTGTTCCAGCTCTAAAGAACGTTGGTCTTCAGTCGCTGCTTGTGGTCAAAACTTTCATAGGGTACCTTTTGAATAAAACTTCCTTGTGAATGTCATTATACTAATTCAGTGTTTCCACTATCGGTTGACTCGCTGACTTATTTTGTTTCCCGATGTGTTCCACACAGTGACCTTTACCGATTTGGAAAAAGACTGCACTGGTGTCCCATCAGTGCTCGATGTTGTTGGATACTTTGACCTGAGATATCAGAATAGGTATTGAGTGAGAAAAAAAGTTTTATCGGTGCATCCCTAATCAGAGGTCAGTCACTAATATGATGCCTTGCTCAAGGACTCTCATGTCCCCCCTGCAGCTCAAATCTGTCCATAACGAGCAGGAGGTCTGAATCTTTTAGAGGAAGACCTCATTCAACCCTCCAACAACTGGATCATTGTGATGTGGATTAAATGTCGAGTTGAATTAAACCGGTGCCAGATGTTTTTTTTTTTTTTTAAACCGACAGCTGCTATTTGCCTGGCAAACCTGAGCCAAGATGGCAGCTGAAGTCTGCTGGCTTTCATTAGCAGCCGAAGGTCTGAGCGAGCTCAAGTGGGTCAGTCAAAGAGCTGCTTTACCCAATCAAAACTGTTTATTTTATGATTCGCACTTAACTTTTATAGGTCAGTGTTGAGATCAAATCCAGTTTACATGTCCTGTCATTAGATGGAGCCAGGATTTACCTCATGTAAAAGTCTCAGTTTAGAGTCTAACTGACCTATATTACATTAAGTATTAAAAATATTCAAACAGCAACTTTAATATTTTAAGATCTTTTGACATTACTACCAGCAACTCCTCACTATTTTATTTATTTGTTCTTCTACCCACATCTATAATCATTGCTTCTTTACTTTCTCATTCAATAATAGCTTGAAAAGAGGATTTTAATTAGCCAACATGTTCACCTGTGTAATATTGTGACGTGGGATTCTTGAATTTCAACCATAACCCTTATATAAATCCATTAAATTCAGCATGAAGTCTTGTCCTATAGGGTCCTTTTGCTTCTGCTGCCCTCTAATTGGTGCCTTGCACCATTCATAATTGCCATTAATGTGACCCTTGCTTGTTTCCGGACCTTAACATCCACTCCCCTCATCCCTGCAAACAGAGATGATCGCAAATTCCCTGAGACTGTTTAACGACCCCTCATATGGACTGAGACACAGTTATCAGTCAGTTAGCCTGGAGCTCAATGGCCTTTTAAGTGGCCTGTTCTGCCCATAAGCTGTGGTGTATATGTGAGGGAATACTGAGCGCTGGTTTGTCAGCTAAATGGATGAGAGTCCATCATATCCTGTTGGCTACTGGTGTGACCACTGAGTGCTGACGAGTGTCTGTAACTGATGGTCCTCTCTGAGAAGCAAGTGTGAGGTGAGCAGAGTGTGATCCCTATTGGGGCCAAGGCGGTCTTTGTGTCAATTATTTAACTTCCGATGATATGGCAATAAGGTAGTGCACCTTGAATGTTTTCTGGCTGTGACTAAGCCTGCTGTCTATTAACTTGCTGGATTTATAAGACTTGGTATGAATGCAACTCCTATAAAACATGACTAAAGCCACATGAAAAGATTTAAAATGCCAAGCAACAGAGACGCATTTAAAGAGCATTGACCTTTCTTTCCCAGAGTTAGATGAGAGGACTCTCATGTCTGTCTGCTACAGATATCAGCCAGCAGCCAGTTAGCTTAGCCTCTGTAGTAAAAAATGTTGTGTAACAAAGTAAATCTGTAGTTTGCGAGGAACTATTTCTTGGTCAGGAATAGTGACTTCCTCATGTCATTCAGAAAGTTACTGCACCCGGTCAAGAAATAGTCCAGCACAACCAATCAGAATTGACCTTTTTCCACTTCTCCGATTGGTTGATTTTGTGGCATGAGAGTTGAGAGAGGAAGAGGGATGAGTGAGAGGGGTTATTATTCCACATTAGTATGGATAATAGCAATGTACAAATACATTTATTGAGCACAGAACAGATTTTTGTAGATTTTTCTCAAAGTCTCCCACTGATAGCTCAGGAATGAGGCACAAATATAACGTTGTATTACTTTCGCAGACTCCAGTGGAAGCTCTCAAGTGTTGAAAAGCAGTCATCACGTCAGACCAGAGTTATAATCAGACTTCATCATCATCATATTGTCTCGTGTGTGGTTAAAGAAGGAGACAGAAACTGTGGCTCCATGTTGTGTCTGGCCATGATTCAGGCCCTGACACCCTCTCTGTATCCTTCACCCCCCCCCCCGCTGGCAGGAAATGAGACATGAGACACACAACTCTGACCTTGGCTGGTGTGTGTTAATCCCTGCAGGGTAAAGGGTGATGATTTGCTCCTTTTTACAGCACATTAACACACACACACACACACACACACACACCAAACACAGGAAAAAAAGAAGGAATGCAATCAATTTATACATCCTTGGTAATCTTCATTGGCTGCAACCTTTAATGTGTTTATAGACCCTGTGTGTGTGTGTGTGTGTGTGTGTGTGTGTGTGCGCACTGGGAGTGTGTGTGTGTGTGTGTGTGTGTGTGTGTGTGTGCGCGCACTGGGAGTGTGCCAAGGGAGCACAAGAGAACCTCTGCTCCTTAATGTCGTCTACTTTATTATAGGTTAGGCTTCAGCTAGTCTCCAGTGTGTCATCCTGCTCTCCTCTGGGTGTGTCTCCTCACTAATGCCCTCTAACTCACAGTCCAGCTGTACTTCAGTCAAATCTTTTGTGACACACTGAACACAGAATGGGGTTTAAATCAATTTACCCCCAAAAAAGTAGGACATCCCCGGGCACAATACTGTATCTCGCATGTCTGACCTCATTTTTTTTTCGTTGCATTTATTAGAGGAAGTGGGAGTCTATACTGTTTGTCTCTATACTGTATGAGCAGCAGTGTTACAGTCAGCACAGTATTCAGTGTGTAGGCTGGCCGGCCCATTTGCTGGCCCTGTGTGTGTGTGTGTGTGTGTGTGTGTGTGTGTGTGTGTGTGTGTGTGTGTGTGTGTGTGTGTGTGTGTGTGTGTGTGTGTGTGTGTGTGTGTGTGTGTGTGTGTGTGTGTGTGTGTGTGTGTGTGTGTGTGTGTGTGTCTCAGAACAAAGGCCGATGATCTGGCTCCCTGTTTGTGCCCCAGCTGGTCGCCTCCTCGGTCAGGCCTGATGAACAATAGGAGACACACAAACACACACACACAATTGCACTTGATACAATCGCGTGCGTTCACAGCAGGCCTCTGGTGCTGGCTCACAGTAACCGTGGCCAACAATCTGTGCCTGCCGCCATCAGGCTGAATGCGGTGGGTGGGGTGGACAGAAAGATAGGGGGGTTGTTTTCAAGTGTGTGTGTTGTGCTCTGCGTTAGGTGTGGTTTGGGTGGATTCTGAATGTGTGGTCACTTCTTTTGGTGTGGTCTGCCAAAGAGGGACACTGAGTGATATGTGTTTAAGTGCAGACCCTCTTTCCTCCTCCTCCTCCATTAACCCTGTGAGCTTCACAAAGTAAAGTTTAGACGTATCTGGGCATATAAAACTAGGGCTGCACAATATGGTAGAAACATCATATTTGATTATTTGAACAGATATTTAGATATTTATATGACAATTAGTGTGGGAATGAGCATTTTTGCATCACAAATTTAATTTTCACTAGAAAATCTGTTAGAATCTTGTGTGAAATGTGAAATGTTTGGAGGTCTGTACCAAACAAATGTTTTCTTAAATCCGGAGAACAAAATTTGTAAACCAGGGCATCTCTGCAACACTACGGTTCTTCATTATGCTGTTCTGTCACTCGTTTTACCTTCATCAAAACATCGCAGCTCTTGTAATTTGCATATTGCTTCTGCGATTTGCATATTGCACTTGGCCATATTGCGATTTCAGTAATTACAATAATTAATTGTGCGCCCTATATAAAACACACACACACACACACACACACACACACACACACACACACACACACACACACACACACACACACACAAAGCCTGACAAGCAGCCCTAGCCTCCCTCTCTGGGTCAGGGTGAGTGTTTTGTCTCTGTCAGTCTTGTATTTTCATGCTGTTTGTGTACCCGCCAGTATTTTTCTTTCCTTGTGATAACTTGTGACCAGTTTCAAGGTGTGTGTGTGTGTGTGAGTGTGTGAGTGTGTGTGAAGATGAGACCGTGTCCTCAGACTGTAGAGAAGGGACAAACACTTCCTGGTATCCACTGTGTGCCCAATACAATAAACAGTGTCAAAGATATCATCCTATTTCCTTCAAAACATTGTAAATTATGTGGAAGAGAGTAAAAAACTGTTTGACAGCACCCAAAAGACTCACCCACAGAAATTCAAATCAAAGGAATTTTGTTGAATAATCTATTCAAACCAGCTCAGTAACCGTGTTATGCAGTTTATATTCCAGTATGCACTGTGTTAAGTTTCCTGGTTTATTTTCATATAGTGAAATTCTTATTTTTCCATTTGTCTCATGTGAGTCAAACATTCAGGATGACAATTTGAATAGTGTTTTTCACCCTAGAAATAATAAATGTATTTTGACCCTGAGACAAATAGACTTCTACATTGAATCCTGTACAACTTACAGTATTGTAGGGCGAGTTAGTCGCTCTGTCGGGAGACAGTGTCTCTAAATTTTAATCAAAAAGTAAATAGATTGTGGTATTCGTTGTCTTGCAGAGAGTTGGACGAGATCAGTGATACCCCTCTAATACTGTATTGACAAAAATGTAGCTACTGTCAGCGGCTGCTTTGCTTAGCTTAGCATAAAGACTGAAAATATGCAAACATCTAGCCTGGTCCAGGTAACAAAATCTGCCTACCATGTCATAACCCAACGAAAAAATTATCAACTGTAGTTCTTTACATTTTGGCGTGTGTGAATTTTAAATCAGTAAAACAAATTTAGTGGCTTTTGTTCAGCCCTGGTGGTGGTTTCCTCTAAAGGAGATTATAGTTAATGTCCTATTTTATTATTTATAAAATCTATTATTTGTCCTCAGTGTTTTGTAATTAGCTAATTAATGACATAGGTGAGTCAGTAATCCCACTGTAAGTTCCTGGTGGGTAAAGTGTCCAGCTGATGTTCTACTCTCCCTCCTGCCACAGTAATAAATTGTCTCTCCTGCGCTACTGTACTGAGCGTCTGTGTCGGCCGAGCAGGAAGCAGCGAGGATTAGAGCAGAGTTCAGTAATGTGACTGATGATCCTGGAGGCGAGTAGAGTCTGACCCTCTTTTCTCCTCATTTTTCCTCCTCTACTCCTCCTCTAATGTTCTCCTTCAAACGCTCCTTGTCCTTTGCAGCTAAACTTGCATTTCATCTTCTGTGACCCCCCCCCTCCACACCATGTGGTTCCCATTATGGCCAGTTATATTTTCCTTCTCAGTTATGCGTGCGTGCGTGCATGCGTGTGTGCATCCCCCATTTTTCTGCAGAAACTCAATCTGTCCGCAGAGGCCAGAGTTCCTGAGCTTTTTTCGAGACACAAAATTTGAGAAGTAACTCTTTTACTTATAACACCTTTTATGTAACACCTTACGTAATACTTTTCAGTGACGAGGATCTTGATTACTTTTATGTACAGAGTACATCTTTGGCTTCAGTTGGAGACAGTGCTTGTATTGAGATACGTGTTGTATGGAAAGGAAGACTGTTGTTGTGAAACTATTAGTAACTGTATGAAAATTAAGGGATAAGGTTGTTTGACTTTCTAAAAAAAGCAACGCCTTCCCCAAGTCCATCATTATTTTCTTTGGACGCTCCACTTGGCTTCAAAAAGTACTGCAACACCCCAATATATCGAAAATAACACAGAACAATATTGAATAGGTTTGACTTATTTCATGAGCAAAGAGGAACTCCACCTATTTTACACATTAAAGTCTGTTTACATGTCTTCGGGAGTACTACTGCACATGTGAATAAAGTTATATGAAGCCTTTTGTCACTCCAGAGAGAGCTGCACAAAATCTGAGTCAAAGACTATAAAAGTTTGAAAATAAACACAAAAAAAAAACTTAGTAGCCCTGCCAGAAATAAAAATCTAATAATTTTCATACAGTCCCTGAGCTGACAGTTGACACACATGATGATATCATTTTTTATTATCAACAGCAGCATTTTAAGACAGATTTGCTATTTTTATGTATTCAATGTGACTGCTGCAGCTGCTTCCGAGGCTGTAAGAGAACAAGAAACATGGAAAAAATGAGTAGAAGTGGGGGAGGGTGTCACACATGAGAAGGGAGACGGATGGGGAACACATGAGAGTGCTGGTTTGCTTTCTCAAACACATCTTTCTTTCTCCCTCTGTCTCGTTCCTTCTCTCGCTCTGCACACATTTACACAACAGTCCACCAGACAGTCCATCTCTCTGTCTCTCCAGCCCTCAAGCTATATGTTCATCCACGCCATGACCTCATCATATACAATAGCACGCATTGTGCTGCGTGAAGAGTGCACGAGGGAAGTGGCACAGTGGAGGGTTGTGTATGCCTTCATCCCATAGTTCACTCATGTTTGTTTTCTCTTTGTTGCTCTTAAGTGCCTCAGTGGGGCTGATGTGATTTTAATGAAGTCTGGTGTTCTGTAGATATACAGTAGGGTATAAACACAAGCACACGCACGCACGCACGCACGCACGCACACACACATATGCACACTAGCCTTTTGGACTATAGATTGAAATATCAACAATTATTGGATGGTTTGTCCAATTGACTTTGATGATGCAATGATTTTGCCTTGCAAAAACTCATGACGTTCCCATCAGCCTCAGCTGTACTTAATGCTCAGTGCTAATTAATACATGTTATCAGGCTAATTAAACTAAGATATTTAACATAATTAACATTGTACCTGCTAAACATCAGCATATAGGCATAAATACTGTCATTGTCAGAGTCTTGTTGCTAAATAAAATGTTATTACTAATGCTGCAGATTAATTTTCAACTGATTGATTAACTGTTTGAGCTCTGACTGTTGCAGTGTACATTCACGGTAGATCAGTGAAGTGAAGTTTCTTGTGGCCTTGTTTCTTTTCTGTGTCTTGTGACCGTCCACCATGACGACTAATCCTTTGAACTCTATGGGGTCTGTCTGGACAGATGTGGGTGTGGGTGGGTGTGTGTGTGTGCAGCTGTGTGAAATCCTTTACTAATCCGAGCCGTCTGATGTTGCTCATTTAGTACGTCTGATCCCGACCAGAGGATGTGTGTGGGCGTGTGTCTTCATCTGGACTTTTTGTTGTTAACGGTCACCTTCTGCGGCTATTTGCAGCCCACACACGTACGTTGGACTCATGGCTGAACCGCTAGCCTGTATTTCATCTAACCCATTCTCCCAACCGTCTGACCCCGCTCAGGTATGGACCTGTCAGCCAATCAGGACGAGGAGGGCGACCAGGAAGTGTTCCAGGTGGAGATTTGTCGTGAAAACAGGAAGTGCGCGTTCCGGACCGCCGCTGGGAAATACTGGACCCTGACTGCTAACGGTGGCCTGCAGTGCACTGCCTCCACCAAGTAAGCATCACACACACATCACTGTGTCTCTTCTTCTCTGCTCAGACACACCACCACAACCACACCTGCTCCAATCTGTCCGCTCACTAACCTCTCAGAGCCAGCGAGTGTTTGTGTGATCGTGAAGAACCTGATACTGGTCCGTCACACTCTTAGTCTGTAGTCCTCTCTGGAAATTTGAGCAGTGGCATGACTTACCGTAAGGGTTTTTTGTGTGTTTAATGGTGTGTGTGTGTGTGTGTGTGTGTGTGTGTGTGTGTGTGTGTGTGTGTGTGTGTGTGTGTGTGTGTGCAGTGGGGGGTGGATGACGTGTGGGAGGTGAAGAGCGAGTGATCATGCCATGGCTGTGGCATGTTGCGGGAGATTAAGTGCATTTGTGTGTGACCTCAACCTGTAGAGAGTGATTTTCTTTAATGTGCAGCGCTTCTGTCCAGCCAGAGTGCTGGCTGTTAACCCCTGACCCTTGACCCTTGATCCTATGCTCCTGGATGATTCCCTGTGAGGCCCCAAACAGATGCAAGAGTAGAAGTATAGACTTGTGTGTTACAAAAATGACCTTTATTTTGAAAATCTCAGTTCTTAATGCAAAGATAAAGGCTTGCAGATGAACAGATCCAGTATCAGATTGGTCATAGACGTGTCCTGAGTTAACCTGGAGGCTGACCACCCCTCAGTTAAGATAACACAGAGCAGAGACAGTCACTCGACACACTGCAGAGCGCTCTACAGGAAGTACACCAAATTCCTTCATCACATTCTTGAGATTTGACACGGTTCACTCCTCGCTGATTAAACCACAGAAATGTTTTCTCTCACTAAGTCCTCTCGTGGTTTGAGGAAACATTTTGGAAAAATGTTTCAGAGCTCCTCTCTAATAAAAGCTAGGAGCAAGGCCCCAAAAATGTGACGAGGAAATAAAAACCCTCCTCTGTGCCAAGTGAAAGGATTAACGAGCTACTTGATTCAACTTAACCAAAGACTACAAGTGAAGCTTATCCCTCCACCCTGAGCCTACCTATCCAATTACCCAACAATTACTTAAGTTCTGGATAAAGCGGCTGGGTGTAGTTGTCGGAGCAACAGGAGAGCTGTGACTGTGTGTTTAAACTTGACACTGAAGAAAGCGCTACCGGATATCTAACTGCCATGTAAATTTAATTATCCTTCTTACCTCTCATGCCTCCACTTTCTCTGTGTCTCTCTTCCTTAGGTCTGCTAATTGCTACTTTGACATTGAGTGGCGTGGGAAGAGGCTGACTCTCAGGGCTGCTAACGGGAAATATGTCGCCGCCAAGAAAAACGGCCAACTAGCAGCCACCATCGACTCTGCCGGTCGGTGAGATTTGTTGATTCAGCCGTTCAGACAATGACACGTTAGCTAACTGATTTACTTTTCAGCAGTGATGGGTGTGGGGGCGGGGGATTTCAACACAGGAATTAATTCATGGCTGGACGTCCCAGTTGTTTCTGGGCTTCAAAAGGCTTCAGCACTTCTGAGCAGAGCTGTTCTGTTTTGTAACAGTCAAATGTAACTGTTTACTCTTTGGGGAATTCAGCTTTGTTGCAATCTTTCCGTTTGTTGTTTTGCCATGTTTCTTGCTGTGTTTCTTCTGAAGTTAATCAAGTTGATTGGAAACATCATGAGAAAAGTCCTGAGTTTGCAGAGTCAATGAGGAGCCTGCACTATGACGGCAAAACAGTGGGGGAAAGTAACAATTACTCAAGTGCTATATTTAAAGATCCCCTCCGGACATGTATTAAGTCAAATACAAATAGTCTGCTTAGAACAATAATGTGGGCTAAGCTAACCTGCTGCTGCCTGAAGCATAACATTTATTGGACAGATACCAGCTCACCCAGTTTATTATAGCACACAGATGCTACAAATAGCTAATGTGAAGACTTTACGCAGAGTTCGGCCATTACAGCAACTGCTTTTATTGCTGCAAGACACAGGCATCATGTTAGCAAGCAGATCAGAAGACGCTCCAATTATAAAGCGAGTTTTGTGTGTTGACATTAGCGGATCAAAGCGCTCACTTTGTGCTGCAGTTTCAGATGAGGGAGCTGTTGGCTACCACAGTGCTCTTATTTTTAGGGCATCGTTGAAGCCAAGTTTCTTTGCATACATTTTTAATGAGATGTATGAAAACTCAGCACTCTCAGCTTAATGAAAGAGCTGTAATATAACGCACAAGTTGCAGATTTGGGCCTTTTTAGATATTAGTCTTGCGTAATTTGAATGTCTTTACAGTAGTACACTCCGATCTTCCAGTGATCATGTCACATCCTTTCTCTGTCTCCAGGTGAGTCGGAGGAGTTCCTCATGAAGCTGATTAACCGCCCGATCATCGTGCTGCGTGGAGAGCATGGCTTCATCGGCTGCAGGAAGGTGACAGGGACGCTGGACTCAAACCGCTCCACCTATGACTACTTCACTCTGGAGTTCAGAGATGGAGCCTACAGCCTGCAAGGTCAGTTCAGGTGTTCAGCCGATACACGGTCTGTCTTGCTGAAGGACATGTCTGGGGGTTTAAACTTAGACACGTGCAGCAGCACCACGCAGAAAGGTGTTGCTTGTCGGAGCATGTGGAGGGAGCTCCTGCAGCCGTACAAGGGATTAAATCATTTATTCTTTAAGGGATTCTCATTATGGAATTACTCACTCATTAGGCGTTGGTGCCAAAAAGAAGGATTTGATTCGGATAATTTCCCAGCCTTCATGTTACGTAATTCAAACAAAGCTAAATTTTAAGCTGAACCTTTTGTTCCCCCATTCATGTTTTCACACCCTTCCCCCACCCTTCTGCCACATGACACCTCCATCTACATACTTGCGTTTACCATCTTTTCTCTCCCTCGGATCCATCTCCTCTCCTCCTGCAGACTCGACGGGTAAATACTGGATGGTGGGTAACGAGCAGTCGGTGGTGAGCAGCAGCGACACACCCGTCGACTTCCTCTTCGAGTTCTGCGACTACAACAAGCTGGCCATCCGCCACGCCGCAGACAGCAAGTACCTCCGCGGCGACCACGCTGGCGTGCTGAAGGCCAACGCCGACGACCTGGAGACCGCCACACTGTGGGAGTACTGAGGGGGAAGCATGGATGCCGTCTCCCACTGCTGCGATGCTGATGAATGAAGTGTGGCGACGCAGCACGGCAGCACTACCTGTCCATACATCTACCTATCTCCCCCCCCACTCACCTTCCTTCCATTCCTTATATTATATCCTGTACTTATGACTTTATATGTTGATAAACTGCACAGAGAGAACAGGAAGGATAGAAGAAGAAGGAAGGAAGACACTCCTTTCTCTCCTGCCTCCCTTTCCTTCCCTTCATCCTTCCTTCCTCCCTTTTTCCCAGCTCTGCTCTGCAGCGCCGACCTTTATCTGTTGCCATAGTTACCGTGGGGCTGTGCACTTTTTCTGCTCCCATCTGGTTCGCTGCTCGACCTGTCACTCAACTCCCCCCTCGCCTTACGATTGGGCCGTCCCTCTCCCAGAGCAGAGCAGAGCCACGTTTAAAGAGCCCCCCCCGTCCCCCCGTCCCCGTCCCCTCCTCTCTGAGTTAACCCCCTCGTCTTTCTACTTGTCTCTATTGTCTGTGTGAGCAGCACATGGTGGCAGTATTTATGGTGTCTGACCTGGTCTGCTAGGTCTGTTTCTACCTGATTTAATCTCCCATTGCAGATCCACCACTGGATAAAATCGACTTCAGCTGCTTCCTGTTAGCTGGATGTCAAAGATGGTGAAAGTGGGTCTGTTTTTGTGCGGCTGGGTCACGTAGAAACACATTTCCTGCTTCTGTCCGACCAGGTCTAGTTTGTTTTCATGAGCAGGCCTGTTGTCTCTGTGTGATGACTATGTGATATAACTGGAGTGGATCTGATAAAGATATTGAAGGTGGTGTAACTGACGGGTTTAAGCCTCCCCCCTCCCCTACTCTTCATCTCAACTGTATAATATTCAAATGTAAACCAGTTTCCTGTGTTGTTCTCACTGGTTGGCTGGGAATTTCCTGGACCAAACAGGATGTGGGAAGTTAAAACACTTGTCAACCCCCTTTACCTCCCCCCTCCTCCGCAAGCTGAACCTATTGTCCCGAGAACAGTATAAAGAAAATAAAATTAAAAATGGTGAGGACACATGTGTTTACTGCACTCACCTGTCTTACTGGAAGAAAAAGCACTCGCTAACACACAGTTGGATTCATTTCTTTTTCTATGTCCAAGGCACAGACATTATCATGGGTAGGCGTACAGTAGGTAGCCATAGCAACTGGAGCGAAATGATTTATAGACCCTTTTTTGAAAGCTGCTTTTTGAATCCCTCAACCAAACTTACACCTCAGCCTTTATCTAGACCAAACCTTTGATACTGGATTAACAAACCGTCATCTCACAACTAACGAAAACTGGAACCTGGTGCTACTAACTCACAACATGTCACAAGAAATGTTACAGTCCTGTCGAGCATCTCACATACATACCGTCTGGACCAACACCTGCACTTGAGAGCCTTGCCAGATAATAGAAAGGGCTGCAAGAGTGCCCTTAAAAACCTAAACCTGCTTCTTATTTGGATTTAATTTCTGTCTGAACTTTGAGGAGTATCACGACAGCCTTTTTTTATAATGAGAAATGACCAAATTGTATTTGTTTTAGTTGGATTTTTTTTTTGTCCCTGACTCGTCAGTGAAAGTGGGGAAGAGAGAGAACAAAAAAAGAAAAAGAAGCCTTTGAATTTGTCGTCTATTTAAATGAAATGTCTGTAATGCAGTCATGTAGCACATTGCACCCATAGGTCCTGCCCTCTTTGATTCTCTACCCTTCGGCGGCCTGCTTTCTCCATAACTCATTAAGCCGCGATGGTTTCTATCTACTGGTTTTTACAGTACAGCAAAGATTATTTTGGCACTAGGCCCTGAATTATCGGGCTCTTCCACTCATCATCCCAATCATCAAGTATTCCTCTGATGTGAAAATCTGTATGGAAAATCCAATCATTGCAGCCCCATGAAATGATACATGATTGTAGCCAGCTCCTCACCAAGTCCGTCCAACTTTCTCTCTGAAGTTTTGACCGTTTTTTGCATGAAGGGTTGAGAATCTCAAGTGAATAAAAGGAGCGGTTATCCTCGGAGAAACAGCTTCTCCGAGGCAACTGAGACCGTGGCTTAGACAAACGGATGTGGAAGGGTAAACATGTGGTAATGACTGTGCCTTACTCTTGAGTTTTTGGGCAGTAGGAAAATAAAAAGATTAAGAAAAAATAATTAAAGTCCACATCTTTGCTTTGTATAACTGGAACTTCTTTTTGTATTATTATTTTGTATAATTTTTTGATATTGTGGATTAATCTCTCTCTCGTGCCATTGGTTCACCTGAAATCCAACGACCAATAAAACTGGGATTTGGAATGCTACACGTCTCCTTTTTATTCTTTCTTTTTGTCTAGCGTGCTGAATGAAGGATGTTCTCACTGTTCCCCTTATTAAACCTCTATTGTCCTATTTTTATATTTAGTTAAAATAGTCACATTGTCCAACTGCTGAATTTGTCTCTAGCAGATTTCATCAGTCGTAGCTAATTGGCTAACTAAGCAAACATTGGTGCTATAAGTTGAAAACTTTCCAGCTGACTTTAATGTTTCTAAGTATGTTCTTATATGAAAATATACACTTTGTGTCTTTATATCTTACTAAAAGACAGGCAGCAAGAAAGATTGATGTTTTAATTAACGTTAGAGCAGACAACCACACTGTTCAATTCATTTTCTAACTCTTTTGCTCTTGAATTTTTGATTGTGCAATCACTGATCTGGGGATGAGTGTAGCAAACTCAACTGGAAAATTATATTTTAGGCGTCATTGTGCACATTTTTCTTGATTTTGGTATGAACAGGAAACCAATGAAATCTTGAAATGAATGTCAAATAAAGCAGAGTTTAAACAAAGGCTCAGTGAGATATAAGAGGTTATGGATCACAGGTTAGATTCTATGTTTGTTTTTGCATTATGATTTAAAATCTGCAACCTTCTGGAAATCACAGCGTTTTCTTGCCCTGCTTCTTTCTCATATAATCGTAATGCTTCATACTCAGTCAGTTTCTGACTGCAGCGGCACCATGTGCTACCCCACTTACACACACATATATGGAAACACACACACTTTTTTTTCCTGTCTCTTGAATAGAGCCTTTGTGTTGAAACATTTATTCTAGTGCAGAGAAAGGGCAACCCCCTCTAAAGATTCACACACGCATACACATGAACACCATTCAGGGTGGTAATGTAATGATGGAGCCTCTAGAGCAGGTTTCTAATCCCCCCCTCCTCACCCCCACCCGCCAGGCTTGCAGATCCCAGAGGAACACCCAACATGGCAAAACAAACACACACCACCCCTCCATCTAATCTCCTCCCCTCTGCTGCCTCATGTCCCCCTCCAACCTAATCTTCCTCCCCGTCTCTCTCTCTCTCTGCCTGCTTTACCCATCTCTTCCAATTAATTCCTCCGTCCCTCATCCTTTTTCTCCCTCTGCTTTTTTTCCTCCCATTTTTCAATTCTGCTGAAAAGATGAGTCACTCAAAATATGACCCAGATCACAAAAATGGGTGCAGTGGTTTGTGGGTAAAGTGTCAGGCTGCAGGCAGAGCCGACTGGTCTCTCTCTCTCTCTCTCTCTCTCTCTCTCTCTCTCTCTCTCTCCCTCTCTCGCTCCCTCTCAGAACAAATGAACAAGTGAAAAGCAGAAAGGGAGAGAGGGATGGATGGGGGGAGGGTTAAGGGAAGGGGAGAGGAGTGGCTGTGTGCGAAATGGCCGCTGTCTCCACCCACATCTGAGTCCCCCTACACCTCAACAGATCCCCTTGTTACCATGGGAACACCAGCTGCATGGAAGCTGAGGGGTCTGAATCAAACAGCCAAGTGAGTGTGCAGCGTCGTCAGGGCCAGATATGTCAAAAACCTTCATTACATCTAAAATGCAGGCTGATGGAGGCCTTGTAAGGCTTGTGTGGTTTTGAGGGGGTGGAGGGTGAGGCAAGGAGCGGGGCACAGAGCTTAGGGGGGTTAGGATGAGGAGCTCTGGGGAGCAGCAGCAGGAGGAGGAGGAAGTGGGCGTCTTGCCTTTGATCATAAAAAAACCCCATCATCATTGAGGAAACAGCACGAGGCCAAGCTCTGCTGAAATACCCCAAATCTTTCTTCCTCCTCTGTTCCTCCCGTGGACTCGACTGCAGAGGATGTGTGTTTGTACTGTCCCTTCCATCTTCCATCTGACCGCCTTTCTGCCAGCTCTCCTCGCTCTAATCAAATCTACGTCCACCCATAATTTTTCAATCTCTCACGTGGCAGTGAGTCAGTGGGTCAGTGGGTCAGTCAGTAATCTCTTTAGGGGACGTGAACGAGCAACATGGGTCTGTACAGGATGAAAAGCAGGTTGACTCACTATGACAGATCAGCCATTAGAGACAGAGAGGGCACTTTTGGCATACTTTCACATCACCAAAGTACGATGGATGGATCTGTTGTGTCAGAGCAAACCCAGTGTGGACATGTCTTCACCTTAAAATTATTACAGTTGTTAGGATTCATCCTCTGGGGACAGTGAGTTGTCAGGACAATCCATCCATCCAATAGTTGCTGATATTTTATTCAAGACAAAACTGACTAACATTGCCGTCCACTGAGCCACACAACTCATCATCAGGATATCTGAAAATAGGTTATAATAATGGATTTTGGTAACATTTGGGTGCCAGACCAGCCTCAGGAAACTGATAAGGATTTTGGTGGTGATCCAGATGTTAGATTTCCACCACGAGATGCGATTATTGCTTTTCAGTCAGAAAAGTGAAGCGATGGGTGATAAAGACTGAATAATAAAACCTTGGTGGGGTGTGTGCAGAGACAGGAAATCCTTTTAACGTGGCTGGAATGATGCCTTTAGGTGCAACAGAAAGTGTGAGGATTGTTCAGCATATGTTGTTTTTTTTGTGTTCAACCAGTTCCACAGAGATAAAAAGTAGTAGTACATTTAGTTGAGAGGTAAAGTACAGACCATTGTAAGAAACATACAAATTACAAACAAGTTAAAAAATAAAATAGAAAAATTTCCATGTAGAGCATATTGTGAAGGCCAAATGACTAACAATGTAAGAGTATATTATTGTTTAACCACAGTATTCAGCAGGTATGAATCATCCTACAATGACTGTATGAGCAGCTGCACAGAGGAAACAGCTGTAAAAGCACACACTCATTAAAAATATACACTCTCATTAAATATACACACAAACAATAACAGACACAAACAACGCCAGCGGAGGTTGAGCAGCAGAAACTGTCTGGGGAGCAAATGCTGCCAGACAGCAACGGTCCTTGTGGACAGGGCACCAGAGGGCTTTTATATATATATATATATATATATATATATATATATATGTATATACACACACACACACACACACACACACACAATGTTGTCGGTCGCCAAAAATATGTGTGTAGTAGTCGTACAGTCACACCAGCTCTCACAGAAACATGAATTCAGAATAACAGGAAGCTGCAGCAGAGGTGGTATTTGACTCTCTCAGGTGTCTCAGGAGATATGCAGGTCATGTCTAGTTCATATTTTCAGGACTTCAAATCTGTTTCATAAAGCCCATTCAGAGCATCAGGTTCCCATCAGCTATTCACTGAAAGGTCTGAGCATTTGTTTTCAGTGGTCTGAATAGAGAACGGTGGCGCTGTTATTTTACTGACTGATTTACACTATTTATATATCAAGGCAGATAAGGTAAGACCAGTACAGCACATTTCACACACAATAAAGGTGCTTTACTTATTGCATGAAAGACATATGAATAACAGAGATAAAATGAAAGACCAACAGTAGAGAAACAACATATAAATTAGGTGTGGGCGTTATGATAGTTAACATTTATAATGGATCTAATCTCTTGCCATATATCGTTACACAGACTGACTCTATGTCAAACAGCACGCTAACATGCGGTTACAATACTAACATGTCAATGTTTACCATGTTCACCATCTTAGTTTAGCGTGTTAGCATGCTAACACAAACACAAAGTATAGCTGAGCCTGATCACCAAAATCAGTATGAATTCAACCTCTGTGCACCATCTGAACCAAATACCAATCCAACCAATAGTTGTTGACATAGTAAGTGCTGCAGGAACGAGTCCTAAAACCTGGAACTGGAGCATTTGAGCTCTTCCGGTTCCTTTGCCTCGAAGTCAATGGCTTTTTGGTTAAACACCTGAAATAAGGTCTGTGGTTTTCACACTTTATTCTACGACATAAAATATGTCAGTAAATACCCCCTGAATTTTGAAGAATTTAGACCTTTATTTTGTGTCTATAAAAAGGCGGTTTCTAACAAGTGATTAAGTGACCTTCAGCACGCCAAACCCGGAGACTATCTGCTCACTAGTCCGCCTTTAAAGCCTAGTTGTTGTGCTCTTGCAAACTATTCTAACTCAAACATTTCAACTTGTAGATTTTAATGACAAGATTGAATTAAAAGTTGGGTTTGGTGGTGGTGATGTTGAAGCCATGTGACTGTGTTGTAGTTTGCTTATAGCTAAACGTTACCTTTTCACTTCTGTCAATCGCATTTACATTTCAAAAATCATAAAAGTGTTGTCTGTCTGAAGATTATCTTGCTGAACACACGTTTTCTGCAATAATCTAAAATCCAATGGATCCCATTAACATTTTCTCAAATGAACCAGGGCATTGCTAACTTCCAGGCTGGACTAAAAAGACGTCGTCCCTTCAGCGCTGTATCTCTGAACAATCTCGCTCTATCGAACTGCATTTTCATGTCAGAGTGAGCGTTGAGCGAGAGAGTGTGTTTGAGTGACAGCACTGCATTGCCAGAAGTCTCCTTCATTGAGTATTATCACGTCACTTAAGCCAGTCCTTTGTTCTTTGAATTTAATGAGTCATTAACGGATAATACTCTGTAATGCTCTCCGACTGTAATCCATGACCCACACGCTCGTCTGGCGGGCCCCGGGGTGCCTTCAAGGACGGGAAAAGAATAAAACACAGCAGAATACGTTGTATTCAGAAAGAAGGGGCGATTGTTTTCAGGGATCCAGGCTCATCATAGTCTCTGTCCTCAGAGCAGCAGTGACAGTCACGGTGAAGGGTCACAGGTTGAGGTCAGGGCTTATGGAGGGTGATTACACTCAGCTGAGCAGCCATCATGTTTACAGCGGTCATGGGAGTCACACACGCAAATAAACTCCAGTGTGACCCTGTTATTACACATTAGGATCACTTTATTCAACATGAGGAGAACTACTGTAAAAACAGCAGACAGTAAAGTCAACAGCAATTCAATTCAATTTTATTTGTACAGCGCCAATTCACAACAGAAGTTATCTCA